GCCGTGCACCGGCAGCGAAGGCCGTCAGCCGAGCCTTGTTAGCCTCGAAGTCTTTCTCGAGCTCGGAAGAAGCGGCCGCCCTTTGCTGTCGAAGGACAGAAATCTGACGCTGAAGGTCAGAGATCTGGCGATCAAACTCGGTCAGCTTCGCTTTCCTTGCTTTGATTGCCTCCAACTCCACTCGGCCTGCCTCCTGCGCGACCTTGGCCACCTTCAGATCATCCTCGGCTTGCAATGCTCGCTCGAAGATAAGAAAGTGGTGCCGAGTCCGCTCCAGGAGATCGGTGAGGAAAGAGATGCCCTCCGGGCTCAGGTGACCACCACTGGCGAGGTCGTTGAGACACTCTCCAACAGAGTCAAGACCCTGGCATCGGAGAGCTTGGGAGGCAGCGAGAGAAAGGACTTCGCGCAGCTTCACGAAGACTTCGGCCTCGGGCATGGCTCCTGCTGGTTCGGCAGGAGCAGCGGAGGAGCCGGCCTCACCGGTCGTGCTTTGGAGTAGAGCGTCAAGCTCCAACTCCCACGATGGCTGCACATAAGAGGAAATTTTTGTGAAGAATAGTAAAAACATCGTGATATAGTGCATAAAGGAAAAAGGGGATTGTTTTAGACCTGCCGAGAGGAGACTTCGGCCATGCCCTCTGGGTCATTGCTCGAACCTAGGGAACTTAATGGCCGAGCCCAGTGCCTTAGACCGCTACGCAATTCACGCGGCCGATGGAGGTTATCTACATTTGATGGCCACGACGGCGGCCAGAAAATATAAACAACACCCCTCGGCGCATAAAATTGCCGGTGAAATGACCGTTCGGGCACCTGACATTTAATAATTTTTTAAGAACATGTCATGGAAAAGTAATAAGAAAAAGTGAAGACTTACGTAGGCCGAGGAGACTTCCTGCGGGGGAATGGGGAGGTCTTCGTCCTGCGGGTGGATCGGCGACTCGGCCGTGGCCTCAGGATCGGCCAAGGGTCTCTTGCCGCGATCCGCCGCAGAAGGGATCGGGCGAGCGGTCGCCTCAACCACCGGAGGATGAACAGGAGGAGAGTTGACTGGTCGGCGCCGGCGTTCCAGGGGGACCTCTCTGCTCTCACTCTCGACATCCTGAACAAAAAGAAACTTTTGCATCATGACCGAAAACCGAAAGGAACAAGGGAGAGAAGTAGGGTTATACCTCCAGAACGACCGTCGGAGAAGAGGGTCCCTCGACCGGTGCTGCCGACCTCCCCGTGGCAGGCGTCACGACCGGCTCCGAGGCTGAGGCTGGTGCGCCGATGGGGGCGGCCGTGGCCTCGGGAGAAGAGACGGCCGGTGGAGTCGAGACGTCCGGCAAAGGAGGAGAGCCGGCGGGAGCGGCCGTCCCTGTGGTATCACTAGGGACGACATGAATTTCCCGATCGCCCTTCTTCGCCAATTTCTTGACGCGTTTGGAAGGGCGAGGGGCATCAACCTCCTGCTCGGCCTCTCGGTGGAGGCGTTTGGCCGGGACTGCCCTCTCGGTGGCGATGGGCTTCGGCACCTTCTTCGCCTTCGCCACCGCGGCGACCACCTCTACCCTCCTCGGCACACGACTCCCTGAAGGGCAAGGTGATTAGTAACAAGGCTCAAGATATACATATAAAAAAAATAAAAAAATAAAAAAAAAAAAAAAAAGAGAAAAAGAAAAAGTAAAGGTGGAAAGACTACCTTGGGCCGGCTCCTTAGGTTGAGCCGAGGACGTCGACCGAGGACGGTCGCCGAAGATCTTCTTCACCAGATCTTCGGCCGGGGACCCGAAGAAGTCGCCAGTATACTCCTCCCACCAGTCCCCGAAGGTGTCGGTTCCCAGAGACTCAGGAACCGCCGGCCGGATCCGAAACTTCCTGCACTTCTCCTGGAACTCCTGGTCGGACGCCTTGCACTCCCTCTCAGAGGAGCCGGTAAGACGTCCCCGACTCAGGAGTGACCGAGAAGCAAGCAGGGGGACTGGACTACCCTGGAGGTAGCCGAGCTGCCGGGCGACAAAATTGGGGTGGTAGACCTCCCAGCCCGCTCGGCGGGTATCACAACCCAGTGGGAGGTCACGCGCCACAACGAACGACCCCCATCGTTGACGAATGTCCGCATCCTCGGACGCGGCCCACGTTGCCGTAGGAAGCCCGAGCGAGGAAGGGTACTCCTGGTGCCGGCACACCAGGAACTCGTCATCCGAGAGGACGTCGAGGCTGAAGAAGTGTCTGAAGACCTCGTCAGCTCGGTGGGGAGGCGCCGGTCGTGAGGCCAGTTGAGGGCCGAGAGCGGCCGTTCGGTCAAGGGCAGGAACCTCCGGTCGAAGGGTAGAAAAGTAGACCTGCAGCCAGAGTTGGAACACCCAGAGGGGTCCGTTCTGGTGCGGGTCAATCTTGCCAATGGTCGCCTCAGCCAGGCAACGGAAGAGGTTGGCGAGTATGGCTGGACTGAGCGCCAGCAAGCGACCATTGGCCAGTGCCTGTGCCACTGGCATGTTCTCCACCAGGCACTTGTTCGACCTGGTACAACAGACGAATTTGTTGTACCAGTAGAAGAGGAAGGCCTCGTGCTCTCCCTTCCTCAGGCCCTCCTCGCCTCGACCGGCGAAATGCAGAATGAGGGTATTGTAATTGAAGAAGTTCTTGTGGAGTTTGTGAACTTCTTCCATTGAGGGCTCCCGGTCGCCCCGGCTCAGTGTTTCGACGGCCCTTTCGTCGAATAGCGCCTTCAGGTCGAGAGGAGAAGGGTATCCAGAAAGGGCGGCTTCAATGGGAAGGCCGGTCGGGGAAGTCCCAAGGATGGCCGAGACGTCGAGGACTGTAGGGCCGAGGGGGCCGAAAGGCAAGACCATGGTGTTGGTGGCCGAACACCATAGACTCATGGCCGCCAGGAGCAGCTCCTTATCCATGGCAATCTCCATGGTTGACAGCATAATGGCATCATAGATGCCAAGGGCCTTCCACTCCTTGGAGAAGAAGGTGCTCATCCGGTCGACCCAGGCAGCCCAAGCCGTGGTGGTCGAGGGCCAGGCTCCCTGAGGCCGCGCCAGAGTCCACTTGGACCAGTCGAACCCCTGCAGCAGGGGTGTTAAACATTGCTCCTTGAGCAGGTCAGTAACGGACGATGGCACGGCGTCTCTAAAGAGGGGACCCAGAATCTGGTGGGTGGTGGCCATGTCCTCTTCGAATCGCAGCGTCTTGACGGTGCTCCGATCGATGAAGTCTTTGCATTTGTTGATCTCCTCGGAAAGTTTCGCGACGAAGGAAGCCATTAGAATAATCTGGAAGAACTGGAAAGATTGCAGGAAGGAAAATTAAAGGGTTGGTTTGAACAAGCAAGAATGATTGAAATTTGAGTCTGGATTCTTTCTGAAAGCGTAAGACACGAATAGAGTAAAATGTGGGTATTTATAGGCTTTTCAAATAGAAGATCAAACGACTGAATTTCGAAAGGCATTAGAATTCGAAAAGTGTTCGTTCAAAAGTGGGGGGAAATTTAACCGGGAAAGTTTGCAATCATTTCGGATATTTTGGGAACCTGCGAAAATGGGATCGAGGGGGCGAAGATCCAGGACGCACGATGGCGTGCGGCGACAGGTTCAATGTATTAATGAGGATAAGACGGTTCAGTTAGTGCACGGTTTCGAGGCCCATGATTGAAGCTTTTAAGAACGGCGGAGAATTGACGCGTGGCCACGCGTTGGGGGCAACGAGGAAGGTGCAATCATGTCTCATAAATATGCAGGAATAATGGTCATTAATGAAGTAAGGTCCAGAAAAGCAATAAATGTTTTCGCTTCTTCAAGGCCGAGAGCCGACCAAGAGTGACAGTCGGCGACCTCAGAAGCGAGGGGGCAATGTTTGGGCCCAAAATATTATGATTGGGCCGAGCAGCAGGATGTGCTCGGCCCAAGGTAATAACACATGCTATGGGCCAAATAATGAGACTCGGACCAGCTGGCAGGGTCGGCCAGATCCTATCTTAAGTAGTCCAGATAAACGAGGAAAGGTCGAGGAAATCCTGATGCAACCAGGATTCTCGACCGGCAAGGGATAAAACCTCAAAAGTAGGAGAATTCAGAATCCCAATAGGACTGAGATTGTTTGAGTTAAAGGTGAGATGGGACAAGGACTCCCAATCCAAATCAGAATGGGAATCAAGGAGCGAGGTGCTATAAATACAAGAAATTACGCAATAGAAAAAGACCCTTCACAATCAGCATACAATTGCCCTGCGCAAAACCTCTCAAACACCTTGAGATTTTTCCTTTTCTTTTCCTGCCGACACACCTTCAGTTTGGATAAACAGCACTGTGGAAGCAACCGGTGAGCACCTTCAGTTTGGATAAACAGCACTGCCGCCGCAGAATCAGCCGACCGAGAAACACCTTCAGTTTGGATAAACAGCACTGCGTCGAGGTCGACCGATTATCTATCTAAGTCTCGGCCGAGAAGGGTTTTCGAACCTTTGTTGGTGGAGGTCATCTAACTAAGCCTTTTCGGCATAGTTGGGTGTTACGAGTTGCATTGCTCGGCGTATTGAACGTCGAGTGAGTTTATGATTGGATACTCGCAAGTAAGTTTCAGGGTTCGGCATTCCGACGGCCGAACTACGTTTACCATCAAGACATACATCACATTCGAGTACCTGTGCCCATATAGTTTGGTCTCGATTCGGCGTGCTTATACTCTTACGAATATAATCACAGTGACCGAATCAGGGTCCGACGACCTGTGAACTCCGTAGAATTAGTAGCCTTGTCTTCAGGCTATAGAACCCAGAGACCGAGAGCGTTCCTTCCTCGGTCGCAATCGCAAGATACAGAAGTCGATAGCGCACCCAACGCGACATCACATTTTACTCCTCGGCCGAGCTCGGCCGACGAGTTGGCACGCCCCGCATTCAACCGAAGGACGTAGTTAACTCATTAGTTACTCGGCCTGCGCGCCACGTAGGTTTTGTAATTTTTGTGGTCAACAGGTTTATGACAAGAGAGGGAGGGAACAAAACAAAGACAAAGCTAATTAAAATTGAAATTATTCAATAGTCGAACCACTGAAATCAAAATAACAATATCACACTAACGTTTTCCACCACATAAGGAAAATTATAATAAATGGACAATACTAACGAAGACACATTGAGAAAATGAAGAAAGTTTTACGATAGAAAAACAAACACGCCCATTGTAGTTCTAGAACTAGTTCTAGGTCTTAGAGTCCAAGGCCAAAATAGTGCTGAGGTTCATTGGATTCATGTACTCGTTGGACCCAGTAAGGATTATCTGCACAATAATTCTGTTTGCCTTCTCAGAAGGATGGAATGAATCCCAAAACGCGTACAAATCTCTATTTGGGCACAAGTTGGAGACAATTGTGCAGAGTCCGACGCCATTGTAGGGTCCTTGGCCACAGCAAGCTATCTTTGAAGTCACAAATCCTGCAAAGCAAGCACACCAGATAACATTAATTCGAGGGGCTGGAACCTGAAACCCTAAACACACGCAAGAGAAAGACGTCGTGTGCTCTTAGCCAAATAAGTTACGAGCTCCTTGTAACTTGTTAGACGTAGTACATACCATAAGGTTATTAGATGTTATGTAGCTTATTAGACGTACGTACCATAAGCTTGAGGATTGGAGATAAAATTCATGTGCATTCGAAATGCATCTGCATAAATAAATACATCTGAGCCAATTTGGTTATTCAGGCTGTTGACCATATCGGCTAGCTGTGGGTTAAATAAGGAAGCAGCTCGCTGCAGCTCCACCGCACATTCGCCTCTTCTGCTGCGCTGAGCCAACTCTGCTGGAACGCACCCTAGTGGCCCTGTGCCTGTCACCAAAACCCTACGAGCTCCTAATTCATACAGCCTCTGCATTTTAAAAATATAAAGTAAAATTAAATCATATATTGTAAAAAGCACGTAAAGCTTGAAACATGTTGACCTAGCTAGTTACATAGAAAGGAATTATTCATGGTAATGTAGGGAAGAAAAAAAATTCAAAAGTATGTAGAGCTCTGGGTTGTCGTTCAAAACCTCGAAACCTTTCCCCCCACTTATTTGTTAATTTGCCAGATATGATTTCGAATGAAATGCATGTGTTAACTTGTATTGATAGCAAGTAAACAACTTTACGCTAGCGATGGTTTGTCTAATAAAAGTGAACAGTCTGATATATTATGAAAGGGAAGTGTTATTGGTACTTCAAAAATCTCATTCTACACTTTCTTTCTAATATAGAAAGTTTGGAGTGTAGAATGAGATTTTTGAAGTGCTAAATGAGATTTTTGGAGTGCTAATAACAATTCCCTAATGAAAATGTCATATTGATTGTTGGTCACACCAACCAAGCATATATGTCTTCCAAAGTTCCCAATTACTCCCTGCTCCCCCGATCGTCGCATTACTCCTCTTATCTATATCCTAACTTTCTTGTGACCATTTCTCTATGTATGAATATCTACATATACAAAGGGAGAATGTAATAATGATGAAGCTTTTATAATACATAAATTACTATTCTCCTATTAAGATTTCAAAAATTAAGGAAAAAAAGAAGTAAAAAAAAAAAACTCACATAATGAAACTGTAGGTGGTTATGTTCATTATTTTTAATAAGTGAAAAAAAACAATGTGTTATAACATAAAAAAAAAATAAAAAATAAAATAAAATGGCATACGCGTAGGCATGTGGCAAGAGGCTGGTATGCATATATGGGAGTTATGTTTTGTTTGTCACCTGATGAACAAGGATTCATAGTCGCTCATCACCTTTAAATTTAATATCAATTAAAATATTAAAATCACGTATATTGTCATTCACTCTGATATAAAATTCAATAGTGAAAGACCATGTATTTTATAATTACTTGGTAGAAAGAGAACATTTCTTTATGCATATCATGTTACTTAAATAATGAAAAGGGTAAGAATGCTGAAGTAAAAATAGTGACATAGTGCAACCATTAGCAGTAACAAAAATAATGACGGAGTTATTACTAACACTTCATAAAAGTCATCAGGCACATATATAGTTACCGCTAGAACTTTGCGGTACTCGGAGATGAGGTAGACGACATAGTCCGGGAGAGAGAATTGTCGAGATCTAGCAGAGAAGGGCACCAAGTAGTAGTTGTTGACAAAATCATTGCCTCCAAGGGTAATCAGAATAAGTGCTTCGTTGACAAGTCGCTGAGCCTGCTCAGGTCCAACTAAAGCACTCACTCTAGTCTGGTATTGCTGAAAGTATTCCAGTTGTTTGTAGATTCGGATTATGTTGAGCTGCAAAAATATAGCATTTTTGGAAATTGCTAAGATTAAAAAGTCTGCTTGTTAATTAATTGTCTATGGTAATTTGAAAAGCGAAACAGCAAGTATAGGATGTAATATGTATACTTTAATTGTTAAAAGAGTGGATGCCAAAGTGAATTAATAATAAGGATAAGGAGGACCTACAAACTGGAATCCAGTGTCATTGAGAATTCCAATCCCAGCAGAAGCAAAGTTGGCACCAACGAGTAGGTTTTGTCCAGTGAGTTGTGGGCTCAAATAGGGCAACGTGGGTTCTGAGCCAATATGCTCGCCTAAACATGCATATCATGCAAAAAATATGTTACAATAAACATATAATCACTAAGCTATAATAATATAACATGTACCGAAAGAGATTATAATACAATATGTACGTAGGGACCCTGGTGGTAAGATATATACTAAGCTATAATAATATAACATGTACCGAAAGAGATTATAATACAAAATGTACGTAGGAACCCTACTGATAAGATCTGGTATGTTAAGGCCATTCGAAAAACGACCGGTGGGTCGGCGAGTAGGATAATCTATGCCATACGGGTAGGAGTCAGCCCTGGCAGTGGTGGCCAAGTAGTCGTTGTTGCCGCTGTCCACCAATGAATCTCCGAACACGAGGAAAGCTCGTGCCTCGGCTTGACGGCCAGCACAAGCAGCAAGCAGACCTAGAAGAACCCAAGAAACAAAAATGGTATGCATTGTGAAATGGCTCTAAGAACTCTCACGCACCTGCAGCTAACTCAAATGTGTACTTTGTTGTGTACACTCTTAACCTCTAATTTATTCTACTGGGAAGTGAATGAGCTTATTGCTTTATATAGTGCTCCTGCTTCAATTGTTTGGTACCATATTAATGGCGTGCTCTACCTCCAGCGGATTAGAATCCAGGAGTACCATTAAACATGCAAATCTCGTGGCTTAGTTAGGTTAAATTAAATATTGGAGAATTATTTGAGCAGCCACTAGCATGTAGTAGTTATTCACTATTTACGACCTATAGTTGTGCTACGTTCAAAACTTACTTTGCATGGGTTTCGTTGTTAGGTTGGCAATTCTGGTGTAGGTGAGGTGACAATTTTAGCATGCAAATTACTGCACTTTTCACACAATAAATGATAATTTGGGTTAAATTTTTAGGAAAATTAATAAAATGGGCTTGAAAATTTTGAGTTTTAACGATAAGGATAAAATAAAAGGCAAAATAAATAATACCAAAATTAACTTTTTAATGTACAAATATATTTTTTCGTTAAAATAAATAGTACTGGAAGTTGTTTTTTTTTTTGTTAAAATTCCCTAGATGTTTTCACAGTCAATCCCTGCTTGCTTGTTTTCCACCTACTTGTTTCAGCTTCAATAAATTATACTTTTCAAAAATTGGGACGGTGGTACAGTCTCCTATGTTATCAATTAAAATTCTGCTACATGTATAACGAGGATATCATTTGTCATTCAGCAATAATCTGTCATTCAGCAATGATTGTACTATGCCTTCAGCACGGGAAACTTTTTAATGTGATCGAAATACGGGATAGTACATCACATGTTATTATATAAATAGTTAGATATGCGTGTTAAAAAATTAATAATTTAAAAAATACAATTTTCCACTTATATAAATTCACGTAATGTACCATCTGTGTTTCGGTAACAATGAAAAATTTCTCCTTCAGTACGAGAAATTTTTCATTGTGAAGGGAACACAGATGGTACACCACGTGTCATTATAGAAATTGAAATTTTTATTTTTTAATTATTAACTTTTTAACACACGTATTTCACCATTAGCATAATAACACGTGGTGTACTATCCCGTGTACCAATTATATTGAAAAATCTCTCCTCCAGCATTGTTTAGCAAACCGGAATGAAAGTGTAGGAAACGAAATTGCACAAACGCCAAGTCATTCCAGCATTTACCAAACCACAGGGAATCAACATTCATGTGGGACCCACCCAAATTTCGGAATACAATTCCTTAAATTCCCGGAATTGGATTCTCGACTTGGAGGCGGGAATTGAGTTCCTGAAAATAGATTCATCAGGGATCCAAGTTTTCTACCAATACTATCATCATGCTTTTTCGGTAAACCCAAATCCCCCTCACAATTTCACCTCCCCAGTTCCATGACTAGTCTATAGACCCATCTCTTTTCTCCCCAATCCCACCATTTTCTAACGGAGGAGCTTCGACTCCGGTGAAATAAGACCCCCTTCTCCGTGCCTCGTCGCCGCAGGGGTATTTGTCGAACGAAGGGGATGACGGGAAAAAAAATAACACCACAAAGTTAGGGAAAAAAAATAAGAAAATGAGATAAAATTGGATGCCAAGATGTATATTAATTTGAGAAACGGTAGCCAAACAAGCAAACATAGTTAAAAAACAATGCAACACGAGCCGCTGGCGGAGGAGGATCATGCCAAGTTAAAGCTGGAGAAGACAAGCCCATGTTAGCCTAATTGTCCGCAAAAAATTTCATTCCCGATATACGTGAGATGTGCAAAAAGTCATTTACCAAATGCAATCCAAACAAATAGACCATTGCGTAAGGAAAGTCATTTCTTTGTCCTGTAGGTTGTTGTATCATAAGCCAAATGAAAAAAAAAAAAATTTGCGTACAATTAAGGATATGTAGCATAAGTTAACTCAAAAGCATAACTTGGGTGCAATTAGTGATGTATTCTTTTTTTTTCTTTGTCATTGCGTGACTAGATATATCATAATCTTTCTCCTCACTTAACTTAGACAGTGATAAAACAAATAAAAATGGGATACACAAGAAGTTGTCATAAGCCAATTGAAAAGTCTCATCCCTCTCTTTCAATCTCTCCAGTCACGTAACTAGATACACCATGCTCTTTCTATCTTTCTATTCAGGTGACCTAAACAGTGATAAAACAATTAAAAATGGGATACTCAACAAGTTGATTGGTAGAATTAATCCCCCAATCAAAGAGGAATTGAAATACACAATAATGTCAGAATTTTATTCTCCTCTTAATGATTCTGCAGTTTTGCTTTTATTGGTTTAAAGGCTGGATTCTTATAAGGTCCATTGTCATAGCCATTTGACCTCCCTGGATCATAGTCTGCAAAATGCTAATCAATATGTTGATAACATAGAACTTAAAGATGTCCATCACTCTCTAAATCTATTTATTTATCTAATTATATCTTGGCAGGTTTATAGATTGCTAAATTAATATATAATTAGTTTTAGCAGATAAAATGGGTCAGCCCTTTCTCATCCCAACTATGATTCATACACTGGTTATAAGAGAGGACAGAAAAAAGCAACAGACAAATAAGCCATGTGACCTAAATAAATAAGGTGGGGTTTGATCTATCTACCTCCAAGAGGCACTTCATATGTCACCTTAATGTACATTAAACTATTTGTGGAAATTATAGGTATATTGTGGCCTTTTAGACAAAATTGAGGGCCTCTCTCAGAAGCATCCTAACAACGCACCATTTGCAATGAGATTTGTGTAATAAGACTGCCAAACAACGGAAGTATATTCCTTTACAAAGAAAACGATATGGGATTTGTCACATCTGATTAAGATTTGTGAACAACGCACCATTTAAAATGAGATCTGTGTAATAAGACTGCCAAACAATGGAAGTATGTTCCTTTACAAAGAAAACGATATGAGATTTGTGACATTTGTCACATCTGATTAAGATTTGTGAAATAAGAGTCATTTGTTTCATCGTCAACGCGATTTGGACCGTGCTAGATTGCTAGTGATCGAATTTTTTCAGAAGTCAAGTATGAAGATTGATGATGATGGAGTATAAACTAATGTTGTTTACATCTTTGTCGTTTAAGTGTCACTCAAGTAACAACAGCAGCAAAAGCGACAACCCCATTTAATTTGTTTTTTAAGTGCAAATTGCAAAAGCACTTATCTGTCATCAGCTTCTGCAGAATTCATATATAAGCCTTTGGTCCACTACTGAAACCTCCTCTTAGACATGTGTTTATTGATTAATGAAAAAGCAGAATCAGATCATAGGCTAGAGCCCTAGTAAAGATTATATCTGCAGCCATGCAAACTTGAGTTCAATGAATTGGTGTGGTTACTTGTAACAAAAGTAAGGCTTCCAACTTTCTAAGTGCAAAATACAAATCATCTCACAATACAAATTTGGGCTTCGCCAGGTTGATTATAGTAGAATGCTTGCTTCTCTGTATCCCAGTTCGAATCTCAGTTCTCATAGTTAGATGAATATTTAGTGAAGAATATCGTTTTATATATGAAAAATTCAAATCACAATAAATTTCTGGTTACAACCGATAATCAAAAAGTTTTGGAAGTCCTAACAGATTTTTTTAGCTGAGTAAATGATAACAAATTGTTTGGTAAGCTTCTATGTGATAATATATATATATATATATCAAAGATATTTGCTACAATATTGTCCCCAGCTTCATCTGCAACAAACCCTTCACGTGGCATGGCTTAATTAGAGACAAGCAGCCAACTGGCCAGGAAACAGACATCGATCTTCCATAGATTCCCAAAGTAATATAACCATAAACCAATCTTTTCAGGCCCTTAAATTCCCAACAAGTACAAAGGGGAGAGTGTAAAATTCATAACTTGGTAAAATTAACTTTTGTTGATATCGATCTTTATACCGATGGCCAGATCGTGTCAACGTACAATTATGTTCTTGGTTTTGTTTGACATATTTTCTTTTTCTAATATAAGCGATACTGGGGAGTGACCAGAGATTTGAATTTTGAACACAAAATCTCAAGTTTGAGTATAAACACTCCTAACCACTTGAGTTACAAAAGTTTCTTGTGGTTTTGTTTAACATGTTAAACAATGTTTTCATTTTGCTAATGAGCAAATTCGCCCAATTTGTCAAAATTCAATTGCCTAACAAACAAAAGAAAGGTAATGGAAATGGTGGGTCCTTGGGCTGGTTTGGTATTGTTGTGCTTTGAAAAAAAAAAAAACTAATTCTGTTGTACTGTGAGAATAAGCTCATTTTTGTTGTTTCACGTTTTCAGCTTTTTTTTCACGCAAAACTGTGAAAATAAGCTGTTTTTAAGTATTTACCAAACGCCTTTTTGAGCTCAACTTTTTTTTTATACTTACTTTTTATAAAAGTATCTCAATTCCAAACAGTATTTGGCTTGCTTTTGAGTGGCAATGTAGGCTTGATATTTGGTAATAATTAAGCGCCTCTCTATTGGGCGCTGTACCCACCAAATTCCTAAGGCTACCAAGAATCCCTTCATCCCCTTCGTTCGACAAATTATGTAAAAAATTTACGGCCGGATATTAGGGCTCATATATCTAGTAAAATTTTGGAGTTTTTGAACTTTAATTCTTCAAGAAAATTAAAATTTAATAAAAATCTGGTGTTAGATTGAATATTGATTTAGTTCCTTTAATGTGTACTTAATTCAAATTCAAATTAGATTTGTATTTTCATATTTAATAGATAAATTATTTAATGTTATTACATTAAATTTTAAATTTATTATTATACACGTTTTAATTCATTAATCTTATTTAACTTTCTCTAATTAGCGTACCTAAACGTCTGTATCATAATATATTTTACTAAATTAGTGTACCGAAATGCCTGTACCTAAATATATTAAATGAATTAGTGACACGTAAGAAAATATGTAAAAACATACCGAAAATTCCGTACCTAACTATATGATACTAAACTAGTCTACCGAAATGTTGGTACCTAAATATATTATACTAAATTAGTGTACCGAAATGTCCGTACATAAATATAATATACTAACTGACA